TTTCAGGGCACACGTTGGCTGCAGCCACCAATTCGACCAGCCCGTTGCGACCTCCCCCTCCTCCTCCTCCTCCTCCCCCTCCTCCTCCTCCTCCTCCTCCTTCTCCTCCTCCTCCTCCTCCTCCTCCTTCTCTTCAGACTGGGTCCCGGGCGACCCCCCCGCTGTCTCGCCCGTGGGCCCTCTCGCCCGTGGGCCCGCCGTGCTTGGTTCCTCCTAGGGTGGGCCCGCCCGAGCGCAGCCGGGAGGACCTTGCATCTTGCTGCCGGTTGCCAGCGCGAGTGGCAGACACGAGCGTGGCGAGGGCGACAGGAGGAGAGGATGTTGAGCTTAACGGGGTGTGAACACGACCCAGCCACATTACGCATCCCGACGGCCCTGGCACTGGATAGTAGGATACAAGTGCAGTGCGTCGTGAATCATGTTCCGAAGCGATGGCTCTCATGTGTGTAACCTGCTGGAGGCATGGTGAGAGATTCGGGCAGGATTCTCAGAGATAGTATTTACATACAGGGCACAAGCTAGAGCAACATGAGAAACATACATAACACATTCCAGCGTGCGACCGAAAAGGAGGCCTGACCATGGCCCCCACAGTCACGGATAAGAGTGAGGGCGCGGGGGGGAGAGTCGTCGGCAGTCTGCGAGGTTCGAAAGGAAATTTGATGAAGCCCGCCGCAGGCGCCGATGATCAGTCAACGCAATGTGGGTGAGTCTCGGGCGGGTCGCGGTTGGGTCGCTGGTGGGTCGTGGGTGGGTCGCGGGTGGGTCTCGGGTGATTTGCGGGCGCATCGCGGGTGTGTGGAGGGACGGTCGCGGGCGAGGTTGACGACAGCAACACAGCAGCAAGAGTCCGCACCGCGGATCCCCCCTTCAGCCACGCACACAGGGACAGCGTAAAGCCGATCGACCCCTTCACTCGGACTATTGTAAAGCATGCGTTTGTGTACATCAACATGTGTATGCCATGGCCCCCGTAGTTGCGGTTGAGAGTGAGGGGGCGGGGGGGGAGTGTCGTCGGCAGTCTCTGAGCCTCGACAAGACATCTGATGTAGACCGCCGAAGGCGCCGATTTTTCCGCATAATGCAGCGAGCCCGCCGCAGGTGTTGATTTTTGGTCAACGCAGCATTTGTGACACACGGGTGGGTTGCGGGTGGGTTGATGGCGGGTAGTTGTTGGGTCGTGGTTGGGTCGCGGGTGGGCCGTGGGTGGGTCTCGGGTGAGTCGCGGGCGCATCGCGGGTGGGTGGAGGGCCGGTCGTGGACGAGAACGACGACAGCAACACACCAGCAGCACGAATCCGCGCCGCCGCTCCCCCCTTGAGCCACGCGCCCAGGGACGGTGCAAAACCTTTCGGCACCCGTCAGACTGATAGACATAGCGGGAGATATTTCCCCCCACGATGCTTGCACTGAGGGCTTCTCAATTGGGTGTATGTGCCAGTGAGAGACCGTACCCTGTATATATAGACTTACGGCATATTGAAAACGAGCTTGTACGTAAACGTATCAGAGTGAGGGGACCGAATCGTCTTACACGATCCCTGGGTGCGTGGGTGAAAGGGGATTAAGTTGCCCGGGTTATGCTTGTTTGTTGTTTGTTGCGGTTGTGCTCACACCCGGACAAAATTATCGTTGGTCCTTCTTGTGACTTGCGTGTATCTGTTTCTGATTGAAATGCCCCTTCCCCAGTCTCGGACTTGGTATCTTACCAGTCAAAGTCTTGGATCCCCTAACTATTCGGTCGGCCCCCGGTTTACAACAACAGCGGCTATTTTCCCCAGATTCGCGCTCTCGCGTCGGACTTCGTCGCAACTCATGCAGGCGCCGAGCCCTCGACACTCAGGAATCACGCCTTCGTTCTGGACTTCCTCACGATTTCCTTGGAGATCGTGCCATCGCTAGAGGCATCTCGAGCTTCCTGCAGGGCTGACGCTTCAGCGACCCGCCCGGTCAACACGGCCGTGACGGCCCGCCCGGCCGACCCGTCCGTCTGGTGTTGCCGCCTGTTTTCCTGCCCTCGGCCCTCCTCCTCCTAGTCTCTCTCGTGCTCCATTCCTCTCCCCCCCCTTTGCCCCTTCCCCCCATCCCACCCTTCCCGCACTCCACTCCTCGTCACGACATTTTGGTTCCTGTCTCCCTCCTCCTCCTGTTTTCGGGGCTGCGCCGACTGCACGCGACAGGTAAGGAAGACAAACCACCAGACCACGGTGGTACGATCGAAGGCGAAGAGGGCGGGTACCGAGGGCTTGGGATATACATGCCGCTTGTCACGCGAGTAGATGAGAGCGAACAGTCTTAAAGTGATTCAACGTTCATTCCTGAAGACTAATGATTGTTGATCCTCCCGTCTGCTGCGCATTGTGTTTGTTAATTGAAGGACCTCTCCCAGGGCTCGCACCCTGTTTCTCTTTATGGGGAGACGTCTTGAGTCTCCAGAGTGTGTCGTTGGCCCCCTAGGCGCGCGACACGCGCGCGTGGTTCTAGTATAGATGTATATATAAATACAGATACACGCATGTGTATATACATATACGTTATAGCTAAGGAGCGCGATAGAGATAGAGAGAGCAAGGGAGAGCAAAAGAGATAGAGAGAGAGAGAGAGGAAGAGGGAGAGAAGACGATGCTGGAGTTACGCTGGAGACCAGAGTCGTGCAAGTCAGAGCCAGGCTGGATAAGGTGAAGAACAAGCTCGGGCGTGGCCATGACGACCGACTGCTTTCGCGCGGTCATGATGACCGACACGACCGGCAGCTTTCGCCAGGGTCAGGGGAGGAGGAAGCTAGGGGAGCGAATGGTGTCGGTGGTTCTTTTTGCATCGAACGGCGTCCGTCCTCTGTCCCGGGAGGCGGATAGGGGGCACTTGCCCTATCGCCTGCTTTACCCGCCGCGCCGCCCCGACTCAGCTCCATCGTCCCCGCCCTCTTCCACGTTCCAGCCCAAAGGTAGCCGAGCGCTTGTCCGGAGGGCCGCGCGAGAAAGCGCCGCAGGAGGAAGACCTTTCGGGCAGGCCTACCCCTGAGACATCTCTCTATCAGAGCGTTCCCTGCGGGCGCTTTCGGGAGAGGGGGGCGAAAACACCGGCAGGAGCGCAGGATGGCGTGGACAAGCCCAACTGGGCCCCCCTTGGGCTCCGAAGTTGCGCGAAAGGAAAGGTACACCTTTTCTCCTCCGCTTCCTCCTCCTCCTCCTCCTCCCGGTTTTAGTTCCCACCCCGCTCGGCGGCACCCGTTCTTTTCGGCAGCCTTTCGACAGACCCCTCACTTCGAGTTGCTCTCTCCTAGCTCCCCAGAGCGCTCTGGAAAGGCCGCGGCGCACGATGCTTCCTCTGGCCTGGCTGACTCTCAGAGGATCCAACTTTTGCCCCTGGCCGATTTCATGACCATCACGATTGCGCCCCAGGAGCCCACGAGAAAGCGCCACAAGAGGGGTGCTCTCCTCCTCCCAGTCAGCAGAAGGCCGCCGCTTCCCGCTGCCGACTCCGCCTTCCATGGTTTCTGTGCCCTCTGTCTCAAGACTTGTGGGTTGGGGTGGATGAAAAGGAGGAAAGGCATAGCGATGAGACTTAGGATGAGATCGAGCAGCAGCAGGCGGATGGGCAGAGCGAGGAGGACGAACATCACACGACGGAGGAGAAGGAAGAGGAGGAGGAGGAGGACCAGTGTAAACCCAAGGCTCGTCAATGATGTTGGGGGACACCCTCCCTCCAAGCTCCTTCTCCATAGGCCCCGTACAAGAGTTTGCTTTCACTGAAGGAAGTGCCCCGTTGGGAGACAACCGTTTGAACAATATTTCAGCAGGGCTGCAACGCTACGAGTCAACTTTCCTGATGCGTCTTGACGGCCCTGGATCGTGCCAGAACACCATTCCTGGGACTTCAACACCGTGAATCAACGTAACTGTTGCGCCCTGACATCCCTGAATCGCTCGAGAACGCCATTCCTAGAAGCTCACCGTGAGAATTAGTGCAATTCTTGCAATTTCTTTACGAATGTGCGCGGCGCTGAGGCGAGAGGCACATCTTGACAAGGAGCTGCCTACAATCCGTGAGACTCTTGCAATATGTGTGGAAATGACTGTTGGTGGCTCTAAGGCCAGAACCACAGTTTGAAAAGGAACCGCCCTCAGTCTGTGAAGCTCTAGTCGATGTTTACAACGAATGTGCGCCCGCTCTCACTCGTGATGCTCTTGCAAAGTTATAGACGACTGCGCCTGGCGCTAAGGCGGGAGTCACATGTTGGAAGCGGCCCGCCCTCAATCCGCGAAACTCGTGCACATGTTTAAACAAATGTGCGCGGCGCCACGGAGAGAGCCACATTTTGGAAGCGACCCGCCGTCCATCTGTGAAACTGTTGCCAGCTTCTAAGCTCCAGGCTCATAAATGGTGAGAAAGTCTCAGGCGAAACGCCCGGCCCGCCCTTCCGACTGGCTCCAGGGTGGGACAGGGAGGAGTTAACTACGAATGGGGGAGGAGGAGGAGGACGGGGAGGAGGAGGAGGAGGTGGAGGCGGAGGAGGAGGAGGAGGAGGAGGAGGAGGAGGAGGAGGAGGAGGAGGAGTGGGCGGAGGGTGAAGAGAAGCAGGGGCTAGGGGAGGCAGCGTGGACCCCCTCAGGTCTCGACTCCTTCCCTGGAGCCGGCTTCTCATCCCGAGTCGTTTTTTGACGGCCCCCCAGGGCGCAGCAAGGGCGCCAATAGTTTGAAGAGTGTCAAGCAACGTTTCCGTCGGAGTGTTTCCTAGACGCGCGTGGGTCCCTGATCCTCGATCCTCGAAGCTGGACTCTCGCTCCTCCTCCCCCTCTTTCGCGTCCTCCTCCCTCGAACCTCACTTTTTCACCGATCCTTGTTTCTAGATCCTCCGAACTAGTCCTCTCCCTCTCCCTCATCCCCTCTCGAACGTCGAACATCGATCTTCCTCGATTCAGGACTCCTGGAAGAGTGCACAACCAAGTAATGAGCTCCGGGATTGCATGAATGCTTCGGCAATAACGCTTCATATCAGCATGGCGACCCCGCCGAGAGCCAGTCTCGGGCGAGTCCCGACTGTCAGATCCACGCCCTCATCAGGAGGATCAGGAGGAGGACATGAGGGGAGAGAAGAAGGATGAGAGGAAGGAGGAGTGGGAGGATGAGGAGGGGGAGGGGAAAGAGGGCGGGGAGGAGGAGGGGGGGATGCGGAGTGGTGGGTGGCGGTGTGACGAGGATGGGATGACGGGGAGGAGGAGCGAGGACCGACACTCCCGCCTCGATCCTCGAGCATCGAGCCCCCGCGATCCTGGAACCTTGAGGGTGAGAGCACCCCCTGTGAGCGGCAGAGGGAGGCACCCAGATGGCACGCGGTGCGAGAGGAAGTCCCGGGAAGGCCACCCTCGATCCTACAGTGCCGTTTTTAATTCATGCTCCGCGTGCGGATCATGTATCAAAAATGCAGGGGCTTAGTACTTTAATCAACGATGAGTTCATACACAATTTTATGCATAAGTTGATCATGTGTTAAAATCATATATGTTTAAACATCCTATGCATTAGAAGCTGCCCTGTAGACCCTCTTCGATCATCGTGGCAAAACTCGGGAAAGCAAGCAACACCTTCGAGACCCGGACTCGCCACGAGGGACCGGCGCGCGGCTGGCGCGCGAGGTCCACGGCGGGGTCGCCCGGCTCCAGGCCCCTGCTCGTGCACGGCAAGAGCGGCATCATCCAGACCGAGGAGCCGGCGGGTTCCGCTTCCCAGGGTGGGCTTGGGGAGGGGGAGGGGAGGGGTGAGGATCCTAGGCCGCCCAGATGGGGTCGGAGTAGAGGGGGTCAGACGATCGCGCCGCATCGCCGATGCATCGTCGATGCGGCGATGCGGCTCGAAGTGGGGCCCACTTTTCACCACGCCGACGTCGCCGATGCACCGCCGACGTCGAAAGTGCATCGTCGAGGCATCGCCGATGCATCGGCGAGGCATCGCCGATGTATCGTCGATGCGGCGAGATCCTCCAACCCCATCTACTCGGACCCCATCTAGGAGGGCTCCTAGAGGAGAAAGAAGAGGGGGCGGGCGAGGGTGAGGATCGACTGCGCTGTTACAAGTGACCTTTCGCCGGATGGACTCTCGGTGCGGGCCCACTCGGGCCCCCAGATTGCGGAAGGCGCTGCGATGGCAGCGACTTGCGCGCCTGGGTTTGGCCCTCCCCAGCCCCCCCACGGCGCCCCCGTGAGGCCGCGCACCAGAGGTCACTCTTGCCTGGGGCCACTCCTTGCGTGTAGCCGGGAGGAGGAGGAGGAGGAGGAGGAGGAGGAGGAGGAGGAGGAGGAGGAGGAGGAGGAGGAGGAGGAGGAGGAGGAGAGGAGAGCAGGAGAGGAGGAGGAGGAGGAGGAGGGAGGAGCAGGAGAAAGGAGGAGGAGGAGGAGGAGGAGGAAAGCCACGAGCGGCGAGGGACCGGAGTAGAGGGTGTTGGTGGATGGCAGGGTGTAGCCTGGTTTTCTCCCCGCCGACGCCGCCGATGCACCGCCGACGGCGCCGATGCATCGCCGATGCCTCGCTGATGCGGCGGCGATGCATCGTCGATCCCACTTGGGAGGCTTCTCAAGGATGCTGCGATCGAAGTACGTTCCTCCCTCGCCCTCGCCGTTGATTGGGGGCGGGGCTACTGCTGGCGCCACGCTAGACGTCACTTCAGAGCCGTCACCAGTGCGAGCGAAAGGAGGTGGCCGAGGGGGGAGTGGGCGGAGGGGTGCGGGGGCAGGTGGGGCGGTGGGGGCCGGAATCTCTTGCTTTTCTTTTGGTTTCTCATTCTCCCTTCTCCTCCTCCTCCTCCTCCTCCTCCTCCTCCCTTCTCCTCCTCCTCCTCCTCCTCCTCCTCCTCCCGTCCTCCTCCTTGCCCTCCTCCGTCTCCTTCTGTGGCGCTCGTCCCCCATTACCCCAGATCGCACCACCAGACGTGTCCGTAGACTGGCCCCGGCGTCTCGCTTGAGATTTCTGCGCAGAGCCGATCCTGAAACGAGATGCACTCCAACAGGCCAAAAGGATGCAGGGCCGGTCGTTTCGAAACTGAGGCCTTCGCCTGAGCCCCGCGCGCTTTTGCTTTGAACGCGTCTAACGCTGCAAGGATGGAGGCCGGTGCGCCTCTCGCTCGGGATGTCCTCAATGGCCGACGGTTTCAATTGTGGAACAGGCACACGGGTAGAGGGTGGTTCCTTTTCAAAGCGTTGTTTTTGCTTTCGTCTTCCGCAGATCGTACGGCCATGCTTTGGAAATTGTGCAGCGCTGATACGGGAGTTGGACAGATCCTTGTCAAACTCGGGTTGTCGCAGGGCGCTCCTATGAGTTGAGTTTTCCTACCTTTTTCTGCGGTGTCGGCGAGTTTTTGCGAAAAGTGTCTCCATTGAGTGGCATGCCCACCAGGCGCGCGTCATTCAAGGAGGGCGCTCCCCGATATTTGCAGGAACGCTTGAGGCGGGGAGCTGGGACTGGGAGGGAGTACTGCAGCATCGCCGATGTTTCCTGGGCTTGCACTGGTCCGCCTCCTTCGCTTCCTCCTCTGCCGCTCCCAGCTGGGAGGGGGGGCCCCATGCATCCGTCGCAGCAGGCCCCGGGGAACGGGTCTTGACCTCCGCTTGGGGCCCCGCATCGGCAGGGAAACGGGGCACTGGACGTCTTGGCTGAGAGGGCCTCGCCCTGCGGCGCGTCCCACCTCCGGCGGAAGCCCGTCAAGCCGGCGGTGACGCACACGGCGGCGGCTCCGCCGGCGGAAGGCTGACGAAGTCCAGATGGGACCTCAACATGTTTCGGCGGCAGAAGGCTCGGAAGTCCTCCCGACCTTCTGAGGAGTTTTCTGAGCCTTCCCCGAAGGCACCGAACCTTTTCAGAAGGCGCGAGAGTTTCTCCGATTTCCCGCCGCCTTCTGAGAGGCCTTCTCCTTCTCATTTCCCCCCTTCGCTCGCCGCCAAATCTTGGCGCTAAGGATGAAGATGCTGCTCGAGATGAGGATGGGCCCCTGGGGAGAGGATCGGTTGGTCGAGGGCCGCACTGAACAGATCAGATCCTGGCAATGGAGTGAGCGGCTCTTGGCGCAGGCTGGGGGCCGCGGGCGGCGCGCCAGCGCTTACCCCCTAACGCCGCTCCCGACGGCCGTGGCTGCGGGTCCATGCCCGGCCGCAGCGTTTACAGAGCTGCTCTACGGGGAGTGGCATCCGGAAGGTGGGCCAAAGTGGTCCACGACGCAATTCAGTCACCGTGGTCTGGCGACGCACCGTACCGAGTTCGGGCCGTGCATACTGCGGTGGTCGCTGGGCCCTAGGACCACCCTTCTGGCAGCACACCTGGTTGCTGGTCGGCAGGCACGTGTGGGCATGATTGCTGGCCTCCGTCGGAGTCCTGGGCATGATTGCTGGCACTGGGTATGGGCATGATGGTCAATGTTGCTGTTTGGGCTCGGTGGGCCAGGTCGGGCCATTCGCGGCGAGTTTCCCGCTCGAAGTTTTAAAAGTGCTCTGTTGAGCTGGGCTGTTGGACGTCCGCGTCACGGCCCCAAAACGCTCCTGGACGTGCATCGCTACCGCCTGTTCGCAGGCCCATTTTTCCCCAACCAGTGTTTGCACTGAAGGGTTCCTAGCGGAGGTTGAAGATTTTGGCGAAAGTTTCCCGCCGATGTTGGTCGCACGCTGGGTTCCCGGGTTCCGATTGCGGTGGGCGGCGAGGTTCCCAGGTTGCCAGGTTCCTGGTCGATCTTCGCATCGATCGGTCTCAGCATCGATCTCATTGCCCATCTCTCAATCGATCTTACCATCGATCTCACAATCGACCTCACAATCGACCTCGCAAGCGATCTCACTAGAGATCGCACGAGCGATCTCGCGATCGATCTCCCTATCGATCTCATTGAATCGATTTCACTCTCGGTCTCACGATCGACTTTATAATCGTTCTCTATCGATTCCACGATCGATCTCACAATCGATCTCAAGATCCACATGACTAATTTTCAAATCATCCACTGATTGCGGTTTCTCAGGTGTAACAAGTTGGTCAAGTGGGGTGCCCCGTTTTCACCTCCCTTCCATTCACACGCGCCACCACCCTGTCGCTTCTCGCGCGCTTCCTCACGCAGCTGGACCCTTGGGCTGCCGAGTGTCTCCCTGCTCGCGGGGTTCCGGTGACCTCTTTGTCGGGTGGGCTCACGCCCTACCACCTGAGTAGGTTTTTACCTCTTGCTGTCCGCCTAGCTTTCTTTTCAGGCACTGTCTCTTCCCAGGCGCTTGCAGCTAATTTCAAGTCTGGCGCTTGCCGCTAACTTTAAGTCACACCTGTTCTGAGCAGGCCACAACTGCGCGCTGCGTGTGTGTTATCCTCCTCGGGGCATGCAGCAGTCAATTCGGGCACGTGTGATTTCAGACCATCAGACAGTCTATCGCACTCAATACTCTATTTTCGGAAAAAATATCGCGGCGGCCGTTCTTGTTTAAATGTCTGCAGCATTCGGAGGCCGCTTCCCGGCCACGAGACCGTCAAACAGCTACTCAGGATGAGCAGCTGGCCCTGGGGACGGGATCGAGATCCCCATGTGGGAGGACAAGTATCAGTGGAGGGCCAGTTGAGACATCGGCGGGCCTCCGCATTCTCCTCCCTCCTCCTCTTCCTGCTTGTGTATTGCCTTGGACTTCTGGTGGAGCTTCTAAATGCCTGCAGAGGGGCATCCAGAGGCTTCATATTGAAGGGAGGAAAGGGAATAGGAGGAGGTCTACCGTGAAGGAAAGGGGTCCTGAGAGAGGTGTGTCCTCAGGTTCTTCGCCGGCTTCCTCCTTTGGGGCCCTTCTCTGGCCCCAGGGCCGTCAAAGAACGGCCAGGGACGAGAGGCCAATTCCTGGGGGAAGCCCCGGGGTCATTGTCGAGGACCCCTGTTCTTCATGACCAGTCTCTCTCATGGAAAGGATGTGTGGGAGGATGAGGAGGAGGACGAGGAGGAGCAGGAAGAGAAGGATGAGGAGGAAACGACAGAGGAGGAGGAGCAGGAGGAGGAGGGGGAGGAGAGGGAGGAGAGGGAGGACAGGGAGGAGAGGGAGGAGGAGGCGGAGGAGGAGGAGGAAGAGGAAGACGTGAAGGAGGAGGAGGAGGAGGTGGTGGAGGAGGAGGAGGAGCAGGAAGAGAAGGAGGAGGAGGAAAAAAAGAAGGAGGAGGAGGAGCAGGAGGAAGAGGAGGAGGAGGAGGAGGACGAGTGGGAGGAGGATGAGGAGGTGGAAGAGGAGGAGGAGGTGGAAGAGCATGAGCAGGAGCAGGAGGAGGCGGACCAGTGTAAACCCAAGAGTCATCAACGAGGTTGGAATCAACCCTCCCTCCAAGCGTCCTCTTCATATGCCCGTACAACGGTTCATTTCCATTGAGGGAACTGCCTCGTTGGAAGGCAACCGTTTGAAGACCCTGAAACATGCCAAAGCATTGTTCTCGGAATTCCAACGCCACGGAACAACCTGACTGTTGCGCCTTGGCGATCCCGGGTCGTGCCAGAACGCCACCCCTGGGATTTTACCACCGCGAATCAACGTAACTGTTGCACCCTCATGATCCTGAACCCTTCCAAAGCATCCTTTTCTGTTACGCTGGTCATGGGGATCCGTGACGCTCTTGAAATGTTATGCGCGAATGTGCGCGGCGCTGAAGGGCGAGCCACATCTTGAAAGGAACCGCCCTCAGCCCGTGAAACCCATGCAACGTTGTACAACGAATGTGCGCGGCGCTAAGGCGAGAGCCACATATTTAAAAACCATCCGCCCTCAATGCGTGAAACTCTTGCAAATGTTTCGAGCGAATGTGCGCGGCACTAAGGCGAGAGCCACATTTTGAAAGTCACCCGCCCTCCATCTTTGAAACCGTGGCCAAAGTTTCAAGCGTCAGAGTCATAAATGGTGAGGACGTTTCAGGCGGAACGCCCAGCCCGCCCTAAAAACGTGCCTTGGGGTGCGACAGGGAGAATATGTTCATAAGGAAAAGGAATGGAGGAGGAGGAGGAGGAGGAGGAGGAGGAGGAGGAGGAGGAGGAGGAGGAGGAGGAGGAGGAGGATCAAGGTCTTTGACAGGTTTGTTCCTTGTTGTGCCTCTGCGGGCCTCCCGGGATCTCCAGAGGCCTCCGCGGTTTCGCAGTACCTCCAGAGGCTTCCAGAGACCTCCTGAGGAGAGGGGGGGATGGTGGGAGGGAGCATGTGGAGGAATGAGGAGGGGCGTGGGGAGGATAAAAGGGAAGCCCTGGAGCAAGGACCATACGAAATCGAACCTGACTCAGTGAGATAACAAAGCCAACACACACGCACCGTCAACTGATTTTACTGGCATCGTCATGACCAGCGCTACTCATCATCACCATCCGCATCATTGCCTGTGTCATACTCTTCGTAATCTTCCGCAGCACCTCCAGATACACATGTCAGGGTGAGGAGGCCGAACGGTCTTTCACTGTCCCTGGGTGCGTGGCTAAAGTGGGATTCCAAGATGCGGATTATTATTGATGCTTGTTTGTTGTTTTTGTTTGTTGTTGTTGATGGTGTTGTTGTTATGTTTGCAGTTGTTGTTGTTGCTCTTGTTTGTTGGTTGTTGTTTGGCGTCGTCCCCCCCGCGACCTGGCCCGCGACCCAGCCGCGACCCACCCCGCGACCCACCCGCGACCAACCTCGCGACCCACCCGCGACCCACCCGCGATCCACCCCCGACCCACCCGCGATGCACCCGCGACCCGGCCCGCGACCCACCCGAGATACATCCGCGACCCTCCCGCGACCCACCCGCGACCCAACCCGCGACCCACCCACATTGTTTTAACAAAAAATCCGCGCCTGCGGCGGGCTCGTTGTATAGCTTGAAAATCTCTGCGCCTGCATCGGGCTTCTCAGAGTCTACCAGACTGCCGACGTCCGCGGTGTGCTACGTATTTCCATATCTATACACTGCTTGGTACGTCTATGTAGACGTATATATGTATATCTGCATATTCTTATATATATACATGTGTGTAAGTATGTATACAGATCCTAACTTTACCATCGAACACGCCTGCCACTTGTATTCATCATTTGACACTGCGGGTCCCAGTTTTCAGCGGCCAGGTTTCAGTATATCCGTAAGGGCTTCGCCCTCTGCCGCCGGCCCCCTTTCAACCATAATGGGGCATCCCAGAGCTATGTTGTATTTTCTCGGCGCCGTCGTGAATCAATGTCGGAACCTCATGCGTGGGGGCAAATGGCATATCATATTTACGAGGTTGTATAGCTCCGGGGACGCAAATATTGTGTAATGTACGAGAGTTTCTGGATTCGGATGCGCGACCATCGCGTAAGTTACGAAGGCTTATGGCCTCGGGGACGCGAACTCTCTGTAATTTACGCATGTTTATTCAACACCTTGTATACTTTACAAAGGGGATGATGGCTTCGGGGACGCGAGTACTGCTTATTTCTGCAACGGATTATGGCTTCTATTTGATGATTTGCAAGGGTTTATGGCCTCGAGGACACGACTATGGCGTAATCTACGAGGGATTATGGCTTCGGGGGTGCGAATATCACATATATATACATATATATACATATACATATACACATATATATATATATATATATATATATATATATACAAGTGGCACGTGTGTGCCCAGGCTCATACAACAAGCTGAAGGGGCGTTTGAAGCAGGAGTGACATGCAACAGCGAAGTCGCACTCGAGCGCAAGTGGGGTTGCCACACCTTGCGATGTGTGTACCAGGGCCCCCCAGGAAGCCTCAGGAGGCCCGACTTGGATACCAGAAGAGGCTCCAGGAGGCCCCAGGATTGTGAGTGTGTGTGTGTGTGTGTGATGTGTGCTTTGTGTGGTGCGTGCTTTTTGCGTGTTGTCGGTGTGTGTGTGTGTGTATGTTATGTTTGTCTAGCGTGTGATGTGTTGGGCGTGATTTGTGTCTCTGTGTGTGCATGTAGTTCTGAAGCCCCAGGAGGCCCCAGGAGGCCCCAGGCGGCCTCAGCAGGCCCAGGAGAACTCCAGGAGGCTCCGAGGCGGGGTCTGGGGTACCAGAAGGTCCAGAAAGCCCCAGGAGGCCCCAGGAGGTTCCAGGAGGCCCCCAGGAGGCTCCGAGGAGGGGTCTGGGGCTCGATTTTGGGAGGATGTCTCAGGCGAAACCGCCATTCTCTGAGAATCGGAGTCAAAATCATTGAAATTACCATGTGTTTTTGAAGGTTGTATGATAAAATGTTGGAAATCCTATGTGTTTTTGGACCCTGACGTCACGATCTGCGTGAGGGGTGCCACCGATTTTCAGAATTTCGAGGATGTCCCGAGCGAAACGGCCAGAAAAATCGCGAACGACGGACGCATTAATCGCCTCTGAGCTCTACTCCCTCGGAGAGGTGCGTATGAGAATATATATATATATATATATATATATATATATATATATATTATATATATGGTGTGTGTGTGTGTGTGTGTGTGTGTGTGTGTGTGTGTGTGTGTGTGTGTCCCACGCCCCCCGCCCAGGAATTCAGACAACGCGATCTGAGCCCCAAACCAACTTTAACAAAAAGGTTGGTTTAGGGCTCCCCCACTCGCGCGTTCAGCAACAGTTTACAGTAGGAAGCAGAAAGCAGGATTGTAACATTAATCGTGCGGATCTCCGGGGACCTCCAGGACGACGACGAAGACGACGACGAGAGGAAATGTTGGCTGAGCACATCGCCGACATCCTCCCTGGCTGGTCCGGCGTTGACCGGTCCACGATCGTGGTGCAGGCGATCCCGCGGGAGGGGAGGAGGAGGGGGGAAGAAGTGATGAACGGCAGCGGCTTGCGGCGTCGAGTCTCCCGCCGCCACGCCTGGGCGCGGCTCGAGGAGACGGCCGGCGTGGACTTCCCTAGGCCTCCCACGACCCGGCGTGGTCGAGCCTCGGAGTTCGGGACCTCTCGGCCATCTCCACGGGACCGGGGCGTCGTCCTCAGCGGTCTTTGGCAGCCCCAGGCCGCGAGGCCGGCTTCCAGAGGCCAGCAGGTGCCGAAAGCCCTCGGACTCGACGGCTTCGAGGCTCGGCGAGTGCCTCCTCCTCCTCCTCCTCCTCCTCCTCCTCTCCTCCTCCTCCTCCTCCTCCTCCCTTCTCCTCCTCCTCCTCCTCTTCCTCCTCCCTCCTCCTCCGCCTCCTCCTCCTCCTCCTCCTCCTCCTCCTCCTCCTCCTAGCTGCCATCTGGGCCCAAGCGAGAATCAGGCAGCAACGGCACCTTCACCTCTCACTGGTCCTGGTTCACGGCAGTCATGGCACTTCTCGGGCCGAGGGCGGCCTGGAGGCGATGAAGCACACGGACAGCGGGGGGAGGCAGAAGGACACAGAGATGAGGCATGCGATCATCTCCATGATCTGGCACTTCGGAGTCGGTTTCGACTCCGAGTACCTCGTATCGGACAAAGTGCGCGTGATCAGCAAGAACAAAGACGAGGCGCAGTACATCTGGGAGTTCGACCTGTTCGAAACGAAGAAGCAGCGCAACGACATCAAACTGTACGTGCAACGAGTCTTAATCATGGACGACTCCGACGAGCTGATGCCAGAGAAGCTCAACTCCGTGAAGGGGGTAGTTGACTATGAGGACCTGCCGCTAAACATTTCCAGTGAGACGCTGCAGCAGAACAAGATCCTGCACGCGAACAAGAATAACCTCGCCAAGAAGTGCCTCGCAATGTTCGCGGAGATCGGCGAGAAGAAGGATGACTACAAGAAGTTGTACGAGCAGTTCGGCAAGCGCTTCAAGCTGGGCGTGCACGAGGACGTCACCGACCGCACGAAGGTTGCGGAACTTATGCACTACCACACCTCGAACTACGGAGACGAGATGATTAGCCTCGACGGCGCACGGCCCGATGCGACTGGCCCCGTCCAGGCATCCGTGCACCGGCGTACGGCCCGATGCGGCTGCCGAATGGCAGGCACCCGTGCGCGTGGGCAGAATGACCTCTACTGCATCACGGGAGTGAGCATTGCCGCGGTGTCGTGAGTGTCAATTTTTATTTTTGTCCTGGAGCCGCGAATCATTTTCGGGGCCTCCCCCCACACTCCAGCCACCAGGGGAGGTTATGGGCCCAAGTGCTCTACGCCTCTTCCAAGTGACTAATGGGAATCACGTGTGGTTCGCCCTCGGGCCGACGTGGGCCTCACGGGTCCGAATTGGACTAAATGGTCCCACAGGCTTGCCCAAGTTGTGTGTTGATCTCACCAGCAGCACTCGTCAAAGCTACGGCGCACTCGCACACAGATGCGAGTCTCGACAGCGTGTGACACTTGCTGCCCAGGTCTTGCTTGCTTGCTCCTCCTCCTCCTTGTCCTCCTCCTTCTCCTCCTCCTCCATCCTCTTGCCTTCTCCTCCTCCTCCTCCTCCTCCTCGTCCTCCTCCTCCTCCGCCTCCTCCTCCTCCTTCACCTCCCATGGAGGCCTCCATGCAGACGCCTCCAGAGGTCAGCGAGAGGTCTCCCCGTCCTGGCGGCCCCACAAGGCCCGCAGAGAGCCAGCGACACACACAACCTCGACCCTCGATCCTCCTCCTCCTCCTCCTCCTCCTCCTCCTCCTCCTCCTCCTCCTCCTCGACGCCTCGCCTCGCCGCGGAGGAGGAGGAGGAGCAAGAGGAGGAGAAGCAGGAAGAGGAGGCGGAGGAGGAGGAGAAGGAGGAGGCGGCGGCGGCGGCGGCGTTGGAGGAGGAGGGGGAGGCGGAGAAGGATGGGGAGGAGGAGGAGGAGGAGGAGGAGGAGGAGGCGGCGGATGATGATGAGGATGAGGAAGACGAGGATGAAGATGGCGGTGCACGCGCCCGAAGACGCACCGCCTCGCCGGGCCGGGCAGGCGTTCCTGCCAGGCCCGCGCCCGCGCCAGGGCTCAGGATTTTTTTTTTCCCCAGAAGAGGAGGGAGGGAGGCCAGAACACGCGCGTAGAGATGTTGAGTCGCTTGCGTTGGGCGGGGCGCGGCCGGCCAGGGGTGTGGAAAAGCAGGGGGAAAACATCGCTCTTCTCCTCCGCCTTCTCCTCCGCCTCCGCCTCCGCCTCCGCCTCCTCCTCCTCCTCCTCCTCCTCCTCCTCCTCCTCCTCCTCCTCCTCCCTGACCTCGGCCCTGTCCCGGGCCAGAACGTCAGCGCGGAGGGCGGCGGCTCCGTCTACAAGGTTTCGGCCGATGGCGCGATGCCCCCAAAGGTGGCGCTGCACGTCTGGGACGAGGAGCTCGCCTGCGCCCCGACGGCGGTGACGTGACGTCGATGTGGCGACGACGACGACGACGACGACGACGACGACGACGACGACGACGACGACGACGACAGCGACCACGTGACGGCGACTACGATGTGACGACGTCGAGAGCGCGACGACTCCGACGCGCCGACGACGACGGCGCGAGTTGACGCAACCACCACGGCAACGTGACGACGAAGACCACGTCATTCAAAACGACATGGTCGACGTGACGACGACGCAGCGCCGACGACGAGGATAGGATTTGAGTCGGGGATCGACTACATTACTGAGTTACCCCAGAATCAATTTGTCAGTCGAACCGAAAATGGGAGACTGTCCCGTCGACCTACCAGCATGCTATGTATTTTGCTGGTAGTTCCGACGAGAAAATACATTCTGGGGTGCATCAACTCTCGGCGGCGAGCCAGGGGGGGAAGTGAGAAGGGGCGGGCCTTCTCAGATGGCTCGGTAATCCCCCGGCCTTCTGGGAAGCTTTCTGAGCCTGCCCCCGAGACCCAGAGCACTTCCCTCAGAAGGCCGGCGGGCGTCTGAGCAGCCCCGCCGCTTTCAGAGAAGGCCTTCTCCTTCTCGTTTCCTCCACTCGCTCGCCGCCGAAATCCTGCAGTCGATGGAGGAGGAGGAGTAGGAGGACGGGGAGGGGGAGGGGGATGAGGTACAGTCAACAACCGTAATATGGACGCGCGACTTTGCTCAGGGTACCCTTGCGTCATTGCTCTTCCTGTCCTTGGGGTTTTCGTCGTCCGCCGCCCCAAAAATCCCAACTTCGCCTTCCAAGGGTCTTGCGTCCTTACCTCGCGTCCTTATTAGGGTTTTTGATTGTAAAGTCGGAGAGTGGGTATGGTACGGAGACTCACATCGAGCACCTTCGGCTACGACCTGAGCGCGTGGACCCCGCGCGTGTGGCTCAAGCCTTACACTTGATCGTGATGCGCGTACCCGAGCACGTACCATGCAGGCCCATGGTGCGCTCGCACTCCCGGCGGATGCTCGCCTTGACGTGGCGAAGCTCGAGCACCCACGCGTGAGGATCAGCGTTCGTGCCGTGTGCTGGGTTGACGCTGGTCCCTCTCTTCTTCCCCCCTTTCCTCCTCCTGATCCTGGTCCTCTCCTTTTTTTGTCCTCCTGCCCGTCCCCCTCTTCCCCCTTTCCCCCGTGCTCTGCTTCCGTCACCCTCCTGCGCGCACCCTTCTCCGACTGTGCACAGCCTCCTCCCAAATAAGAATAAGAAAATAAGAAGTAAGAACAACGAAATATGAATAATAAGAATACTTATCATCATAACAAGATGATAATAAACAGAAGAAGAACAAGAAAAATAATACTAATAATAATAAAACATCGACCGCCTCCTACCAACTCCCTCCCAAATCGGCCGCCCGACCTGCCCTGAAGCGGGTCCCGACCGGGATGCTGAGGCGAACCCAGCCGTGGCGACCAGGGCCCCCACGAGGCACCCTACGGAGGAGGAGGAGGAGGCGGCGGAGGAGGAGGAGGAGGAGCGTGAGGAGGGGAAGGAGGAGGAGGATGAGGAGGAGGATGAGGAGGAGGAGAAGGCGGAGGAGGGTGAGGCGGCGGAGGAGGAGGAGGAGGAGCGTGAGGAGGGAAAGGAGGAGGAGGAGGAGGAGGAGGAGGAGGAGGTGGGTGAAAAGGATACCGAAGCGATCGCGCAAGCAGGAGTCCGACGACATCCTCAAGGAGCGCACCACTGCCGCGGCGCTGGTATTCGCCTCCGCTGGTCTAGGGCCCAAGCGGCTGGCGCACGGCGGCGACTGGTTCGTGGAGCCCTGGGAGGCCCCAGCGATAGCGATGATGATGAGCTGGATGAGGAAGAGAAGAAAGAGGATGATGATGATGATGATGATGATGATGATGATGATGATGATGATGATGATGATGATGATGATGATGATGACGAGGCTGATGACGATGATGATGATGATGATGATGATTATGCTGGTGATGGTGATGATGATGATGTTGATGATGACAATGATGATGATGATGATGATGATGATGATGATGATGATGATGATGATGATGATGATGATGATGATGATGATGATGATGCTGATGATGATGATGATGATGATGATGATGATGATGATGATGATGATGATGATTGATGATGATGATGATGATGATGATGATGATGATGATGATGATGATGATGATGATGATGATGATGATGATGATGATGATGATGATGATGATGATGATGATGATAATGATGATGGTGATGATGGTGACGACAATGATGCTGCTGCTGATGATGATGACGACGGTGATGATGATGCTGCTGATGATGATGATGCTGATGATGATGATGATGATGATGATGATGATGAGGAGGAGGAGGAGGAGGAGGAGGAGGTGAACGCTGCGAGCATCATGCTTAGAGTCTGGCCATCGTCAACAAGCAGGAGGAGGAGGAGGAGGAGGAGGAGGAGGAGGAGGAGGAGGTTCACCGCCCATAGAGGGAGAGTCAAGGGAGAGAGAGGAACATTGGGGTGGGGGGGCCCAGCCGACAGGGCCCCCCACCCCTCAGAAACTTACCCTTCAGCCTCTGGGTCCGCGGCATCCGCCTCCCTGCACCTGTCGACCGAGCTCTTCCTCTTCTGCTCTGGAGCTGGAGCCAACATCGAGCAGCATGGAATCGATGCCTAGGCGCGGAGCCACGGCTTGCTTCGAAAAAGGGACGACCCTCGGCGCTCTTGGAGCCGCAGCCGCCCCGACAGGGGCCTCCCCGAAGTGCCTGGAGAAACGGCCCCTTGTCGCACCCGTCGGGGCCTCCGAAGGCCCGGACGCCACAAGAGGGTGAACAACAGGGTGAACGCTTTCTTTCAGCCTTTTCCTGGCAGTGTACGCTGTCTTCTTGGGCCGCTTGCAAGTCCCAGTGGGACCTCGCTGCGTCGGGGTGGTCGCATACTGCCAGCAGGACGGGCAATCGATTATCGGCGAGTCGTTCGGCACAGAGCTCTGAACCACACAGGGGCCGTTCACCCGCCATGGCTCCTTTGTCCTGGAGCCAGTCGGGGTCCCCGGAGCCGGGCCCTGGGGGAGCCCCAGCAGGAGCACCAGCAGGAGGCTCAGGAGGAGGGAAGACCTCAGGAGGGGACAAACGCACAGACACAATTAATCGTCGATCCCCCAGAAAATATGGGAAAACATGGGAAGTGGGGGCAAGACAACAACCCAGAAAATATAGGAAAATATGGGGAATCATCTTATTTGTGTGTATTCATTTGTGTGTTCTGGGGCCCCTTCAAAACCGAATCACTGGACTCCGCCTCAGGAACATCAGGAGCATCTTCACCGTGGTAGCTAAACAACCACACGTCGATTCTCTTGAGATGTTCAACCCAACATTGTCCCGAAGCTCAGCCTTGGCCATCAAGGCCGACAGCTGGGCAGGCAACTTGGCCGCTAACTTCGCAGTCAACTGGCATCCCTCGACCAGCTCGACATCGGCGATGGCAGATCGAGCCAACGCCGCCCATTTTTGTTGGCAAAACTGTCGGCAGTATTGTTGCCGTCTCGGTCGAGCGCGGAAATCAGATCGCGCTCAACGCTCACGGCCGACGTGTGGGCCTTGACATGCTCGAAGGGCCGGGCACAGCGCGCGTGCACCTGCCTCCACAGGCGGGCCCGCGGGCTGCACGAGGAAGTTGACTTGGCAGGAGACTGGCAGCATCTTAGTGGGCCCTTACAATCAGCCCGCACAGAGCACGTGTTCATAATCTCCGGAAAGCACATCAGCATAGCAAAATCTTCGGCGTCTCGGGCCGAGCCCGAGATCCCGAAATTTGGTGGCGCAGCAGCGCCGCTCGCTGTCGCGCAGCACCACGCTCCAACCCGCAACGCGCAGGGTCGGGCGGTGCTGGTCCAGCCCTCAGCCGTCAGCGAACACATAGCCTCCATCGAGGAGGAAGGGCAACTGGAGAGATCCGTGGACCCACGAGCTCCAACTCGGATCCAAAGGAGTCCTCGAGACGCACAGACCAGGCTCAGGAAACAAACCTCTCGCGAACCCTTCCTTCCAAGCTTGGGGGCGATCTGTAATTCTGGCAACAGACCTAAAGAGCTCAGCGGGCATGCATTCACGTCTGAACTGCTCGTGGGCGGGGCTCTAGTTTCCTAACGCAACTGGCAAACCTCTGGGAGGGTCGGCTCATGATCGTGAAGCCTCCCTTGCGCCTAGTGGCACCCCGAGGCCCGACCCCGGAGCGAGTTTTGCTCACGGCGGCACCGGGTGACCGCCCAGTCAGAAAGCACGGGCTCCGGGAGCGGCCTCCAGCACACATCTGATGCCCGAGCAGCGTCCTGAAGTGTGAGGGCCCTGGCGTCCGAGGCCCGGCGGGCCGCGAGCGAGATCTGAGCAGCGACGCAAGCCTTGGCATCGCTCGGACGTGTGCATTGTTTCTCGGCGAGAACCATCGAGGACGATCCTGGACCATCGAGCAAAAAAACACGCATGAAAAACCGAAGAATGCACGGGAACTGGACGTCCGAGCGATGGCGAGAAGCGTGCGAATGACAAACGAAGGTCCCAATCCACCACCCGATCATCCACCGCCGTTACCGCATCCCTAATGCGCCAGCCTACCCGCTGGGCCGTGATAGCCACCGCCCCCACAGGGTCTCTGCAGGACACCCATGGCATTTCCGCGGCAGCAAGAACTCGTTGGCAGAAGTGACTAGAGCATCCGGGACAGCCCTCGAAAGCTGGCCCTCGCATGCAACTTCACAAGGTTGGCGCACCGAGTCGGCCGTTGTTAAGATCAGAGGGTCTCGCCCCAAACCTCGACGCCCGCTGCCCAGGTACACCCCCGCCGAAGACCCCCGAGGGGCTCTGCCCTGCGCGCGAGCGCCAGCGCCCTGAGGCCGCGGAGCCTGATGCCACCTAGGCCATGGACGCACGCGCCCCGCATAGCAACCGCAGTGTGACCTGACCGATGCATGCGAAAGGTCGCGGCACCTGCTCCCGGAGGGGTGCGCAGTGTGATCGCGCGCCCCTTGGCAGATACATACCTGCCGGGGTGAGCCGAAAACCCCCGAAACCGCCCGTCAGACGCATTCCCCCCCCCCCCCAGGCCTATGCGCGCCGCTCCCCTGCTGTCGGCCAGCTCGGGGGGGGCAGCTCTGCTGCCGGGAGCTTGGCGAGCGGGCTAATTAGAGTTGGCCGGCGCGCCTGCCGTGTGCCGCGAGATCGGGAGGCCCTTGGCCTGCGCCTCTGCAGCCGCGGCACTGAAGGCCAAGCCCACTTGCCTCGACACCGTCGCCTCCCCGCCGACGGCGCGGAAGGACGCGTCGTCCATGCCATTCTTATTTGATCATGACGATCAGGGCTTCGAGGTGGGCCTTCCTTGAGAACCGCCAGCAAGAGGACCCTGGCCGAGGTCGTCTCGCAGGAGCAGCCTGCCACCGCTGTGCCGTTGGATTCCAGAGGTTTGCCCGCGACCCCCTGGAAAACCGCTCGTCGCTCCGTCCTACCAAGGCAGGATTGGCCTCGCAAGAGGCTCTCTGGAAAGCCCGCATGGACCGCCGCGGGCCTGAGTTCTGAATGGGGAATGTTCTCGCAGAACTTCTTCAAACCCCAGAAAGCTGAGCGGGGCGCCAGATGCCTGAGCCCTGCATGCGCGGAAAGAGCGCCGTGGAGCCACGTGCTCGAATCGCACGAGGTAGCCCTGGACTGGCCCCAAAGCAGGTCCGAGGCATCCTCCCTCTCCCGAGCGCTGCAGGCCCTCTGCCGGACTTTCGACAACGCACGGGCAAGGAGCGGGAGCAATCCGATCGCTCTTGCGCCCCCCGTTGGCTCATCGAGGACCACGATCAAAGTCACCCAGAGCGCCGAGACTCTGGGATCGCGCTCCCACGCATTGAGGACATCTGCGAATCTCTGCACCACCTCGGGGGGCATCTGGAGCAGCGGCCGCGGTTGGAAACCATCCCAACCCCAGGCCGTGCCCTTGGCAAAGCACTTGCACGCCGAGCGGATGTCATCTGCTGAAATCAGCTGCAAGCAACCCGAAGCCTGCCAAAAACGTGGGTGCTCCTCATGGGTCCTCGATTCCCGGTTCCAAGTCGGAACCCACTCCTCGAGGAGCTTCTCCAGAGCCGCGTGGCCCGCCAAGGGGGTGAGGGGGTGCCCCCCTCCTCGAAAGGTTCCATGATGGGCTCTGGGGCGGGCTCGGGGCCTTTGCTGAAACGATGGGCTATACGGCCTCCCTTCAACGCAGACGACCGAGCAAAATCCTGCCACGCTTGTCGCGACTTTGCCGCATCACTTGCAAGCCTGGCCCCGACCTCCTTGTATATTTCGGCCAGGTGACCTAGGCGCTTGTCTGGGTCATGGAGACCTTACAGCACGGAGCGGCCTGAGTGGGCCCTCAGCGTCTCCGATTCAGGGGCTGACCAGATCGAGCACTTCCCGGAGCCTCCATGAAGCCACACCCGCCCGACCCCCCTTCTTCTCTGTCAGCCCCAACAGCTGCGTCACAGTGCGCCGCAACTGTAGCCATTCGGCCGTGCCAGCCGTCGAGCGTCGCGTGAGCCCTCTGCCCCGCGCAGCTCGGAGCGGCGCCATTTGAAACTGACAGCCCTCTGCCCTGCCCGAATGCGTGGCCGCCTCCCCTGGCGGGATCTGATTTGAGCCGAAAAGGTACAACTCTGCCGCTTTCAGCCAATCCTGGGCCGCCTCGAGAGGCCTCGGGGGAAGGGGCCCAGCATCCCAAGACCAAGCGCAAGCCAGTGAGGTCGGGCCCTGGGGCTTCGACCCCATCTGGGTCGGTGGG